TTCCCAGTTGCCTTTGAAATAGATGGCATTCACCAACACAAGTCTGGTCAGAGAATTCAGAATCCCCTCTGCCAACAGGTTCTGAATTTTACCTTCAGGATACAAAGAAAATACCCACATTAGTTAATACGTTGACATCGATCTAATTATATCTAATACTATCCAAGACAGTCTCTACTCTGCATTTAATACAGAGAAGAGAAGAGAAGAGAAGAGAAGAGAAGAGAAGAGAAGAGAAGAGAAGAGCATGTACCAGACACAGCAACAGCTCTAAATTTCAGTGCTTTGAATTCACTATCCTACATCCTGAAGTAGATGTTTACCCAAACCATGGCTGCCATTAAACACAACTGGGCACTGGGCAAAGCACTCACCTTCAGTCCTTTCCTCTACCCAGCCATTGATTTGTTTCCTGGAATCCTCCCAAGCATGCAGGAAGTCCATCTGTTCTAGGCCAGCATGGTAGGATTTCTGACTCGACTCTATAAATGACTAACAGGGACATTCACAAAACATTTTCAGCACGAGATTTTACTCTCATTCCGACACAAATGATCCTTACATTCCCCAAGTACATCTGCCAGCTTACCTTCCCCAGCTTCATATAGAGCCATTGAAGATCTGGCTGACAAACTCCTACTAGGATTTATAACACTTCCTTGAACCAGGAATCATTAGTGTTGTTATGGCTTATGCATTCTACTACAAACTTCTACCCTTCATTGACAATGATATGAGGGTTTTTTCCTTGTTTTTATTTTGTGCTTCAGGGACGTGATATATGATTTTGTAAGTTTCTTATAAAGACTTTTGCTAAGAGATACATCAACCATTTGTCCCACAGCCAAATATATGAATGGATCACAGAACCCTCAAGTGTAGAGACTGATGGATTTTACCCTGCTTGGCATCACTTGTCCACTCAGATCTCAAATTACATACATGAGATTCTCCACCAAGTTCAGACACGAGGCTCTGTCAGAATTAATTGCACTCCTGGCTCTCAGCACACAAAGGTTGGAAGGCAAACACTAAAGCCTCGCATTCACCTCCAGGAGAAAGAGGTAGCAAGTGCATTATCCTAAGAAATGTCTCAAATTTAATGGCTACTTACTGCAAGAAACTCAAATGTCTTTTCTCCATAGAGCCGGTTCGCAGTTCTCAGGATGTATTTGGTGTTTGGATCATTAATTTCAGCGAGAAGGGACTGATACCCATTGTGAGCATCCTGAGCGTTGTTCAGAGAAAGCACCTGCACAAAGACCAACATCCACAGCAGTGTCCACAACTTCTCTAAACATACTTGCTTCACCATGACTGTTTTTTATTGAATTAATTCAAGTTAAACACTGTGACTTAAAGCCAAATGATTTTTTTCACCACACCTCCCATCTGGAGCTTATCATGCAAGGCATATCTGATATAACCACAGAGACATTGCACAAGTCATAAATTAGGGAGCAGCAGAGTCAGCAGTCCCGATTTCCTTTCCCTCAAGCCTAGCGATACAGGATCAGAGAATGGCTCAGGTGGGAATGTGTTGGAGTATGAAAAACAGAGGCCTCTCTGAGTCCCTCAGAGAGAGAACAGAATGCAGGCTTTGAATTAAAACTTTTAAAGAAATTAAAATACATTAAGCCACCCAGACATTAAATAGAGGTGTAAGCTTTAGTTTTAAGTAAGTAGAAATATTATTAACTTGCAGAAATATGAAGTAGAAGTCTAAGTTGTAAGTAAGTCAGAATATGGTTTAAGTGCCTTAAGAGCAAAAGCCTTAGAATGTAGTACAGAGAGCAAGCTTCAGTAAGAATTCAAGATCTTAGCCCCAGATATAATGAAAACATAGTAAGAATATTGCCTACATTCTTTAGATAGAACAGATAGAATTATTTGCATAAATAAATATATATGCGCAAGTTATATGTGTAAGGATTAACACCTCTTTAGTCCTAAAGAACTTGAATTCTAGTAAGTTTAGAAGAAATGCTTGAGGTTCGTGTTTTTAGCTCATTGGGTAACTTGTAAATGAACGTCCGTGTATTGGAGTGAGAGCTCTCTCACTCTCTCTTCCTCCACTGTCATCATCATCACTACCACCGCATGAAAGAAGAAGAAGAAGAGGAAGAACAAGAAGAGAAGAACAGAAGAAGAAAGACCAGGGAGCTTCTGCTTCTCCTCAGGACACTGTATCAGGCCACAGGTTCTACCTCTACTCAAGACTCTGTACGACAGAGCTGCTGTTGCTGCTTCTGCCCAGGACTTTATACCAGGAAGCTCCTTCTATTTGGGACTCTATGCTAAAAAGCTTTTCGCATGGACTTCACCACTTGGGACTCTTTGTTTCTGAGACTGATGTGCTCCTGTAATAAATAACTTTACAGCAACCAACAACTGCTCTTGCTTTTGAAGATGTAAACCCATAACAATCTCAATAGGAAGAAACCTTTGGGACAACCTGCTACAAAGCCCTGCCCAAGCAGGGACATCTACAGCTCATACCTCAGGACTCTGTCCAGATGGGTTTTGAATATCTCCAACTAGGGCAAAAACTTAAGATTTTGAGAAAATCTTTATAAAGTAGATAGAAACAAGATACAAATTTATACTTCTCTCCTATTTTGCAAAGGAAGCAAACATCCAAATCATAATGACCGATTCTGCACTTCATATTGTCACTTCCTGCATAGAACACATGCCAAGAGATAAGTGCTACCTGAGCAAATTTTTAAAAAGGAGTAAATCAAGTTGCAGTTATCAGTTTCAAATGTAGACACTGGGATTTGAAAGCAATTTTTTATGTGCCTGGTTTCATTTTCAAAATATGTATCATATGATTTTAAGCCCAAGCAAGGAAGGAAAACAAAGTAATTTCTGTACCTACCAACTCATCAATAAAAAAGATCCAGGTACCTCCTAATTGCCTATCAAGGAAGATGAGTCTCAAAAACCACAAACAACCACTACAAACTAAACCCAGAACTTCTCCATTTCATACTGAACAAAGCTCACACGAAAAAAAAAAAGAAAACAGGTTCTGTTTACACACTCACAAGACAAAGAGCTCTGCTCTCTCACACCACAGTGACAATCAGAGTTCAGCACAAGGGCATGTCACAGACTGTAAGACACATCTCTTGCACAT